CAAAAGAGAATATAATACCTGCAAGAATATACCTTTCAGAGAGGTGACCAGCGAGCGTCCACATTATATATATATATCTCAAACATCAAAATACTGAAAAATATGATAAACATATATAATACATACACACGATCTTACATTTCTCATGTATGGAATTAACAAAAAATTGCCTCGCTATGTAATCAAAAATTCAAAGCTTAAGCTGCAAACACAAGTTAAAAAAATTAGCCATAAGTAATCTTGCTCATTAGGGCAAAGCGCAGACTCGACGCTTAACTGGAAATGTAGAGGAACATTTCTGCCGAAAACACGAAGCACAATTATGCCTTCTAATATGCGCCAAATTTTTGGCCTTGAAGCATTCTCATAAATTTCAGGAACTTGGAGCGTTCCGGGAGAACATAGCTGGCAGAGGAGGACTCTGAGGACGGAGGAGAAGCACATGCTGTGAAATTGTGTGGATTTGAACCTTGAATTTCTAAGCGGATAATGTTTGGGACTTTTCCTCTTTGTTACGCACTTGTACATGGATATATACACAGACGCGTGTGCACACTCGCGTATTCACACACATGAATGTGAGGGTGGGGGGTGGCCTGATAGCTTAGTGGACAGCGCTCTGGGCTCGTAATCCTAGGGTCAGGGTTCGATCCCCGGTGATGGCAGGAACAAAATGGGCAGAGTTTCTTTCACCCTGATTTTCCAGTTACCTAGCAGTAAATAGGCACCTGGGAGTTAGACAGCTGTTGAGGGCTGCTTATTGGTGTATGTGTGTGTGTGTGTGTATGTGTGTAAAAAAATTAGTAGTTAGTAACAGTTCATTCATTGACAGTTGAGAGGCGGGCCGAAAGAGCAGAGCTCAACTCCCGCAAGCACAACTAGGTGAATACTTACTCACAAAACACACAGACACACACACACACACACACACACACACACACACACACACACACACACACACACACACACACACACACACACACACACGTGTGTGTGTGTGCACCTTAATCTTAAACACGCACACATGGTGCGTATGCATCCCCCATACTGGATCCTCTAAGCCCCCACTCACCCCAGATGCCCCAGGCCCTCCTACATCGGACACCCCATGTCCCTCTACTCCAGTGGAATCAACAGAAACTGAGGGTGGACAGAATGAATTCGGCTTCAAGGTAATATGCTTGAACATATATGTGATTACAAGCAAGGCAAGTGAACTTAGGGAAAGGGCACAAGAAGTGAACCCGGATGTAATTGGACCCATGGAAAACTCTCAGGAATCATAACGAATGCGGTGTTTCTCAAGGATTATACTGTAATATGGAAAGAGAGGGAAGGAACGGGAGGAGGCGGAGTGGCCCTACTGATGAAAAGAGGAATGGCATTTCGAGGAGATGGTTATTCCGGGCTGCGAGCGGTTCAGAGGCTATCTAACAGGCACATTGACAATGTTAGGACCAAAAGTAGTAGTAGCAGTGACATATAACCCACCACCAAACGACAGAAGATCTAGGCAATAGTATGACAGAAACAACATGGAAGTTAACACTATAATTGAGAGAGCAGCTGCTGCCTCTTGTAGAAATCGATCCCATCTGCTCATCATGGGAGACTTCAATCACGGAAGGAGAGACTTAGACAACTAGGAACAGCATGAAGGTGAGGAAACATGGAGAGCTAAACTGTTGAAAGTGGCAACAAGAAACCTTTTAAGTCAGCATGTCAGGGGGACACACAAGAATGAGAGGCAAATATGAACCAGTGAGACTCGACCTAGTTTTCAATTTGAACGATTCCGACATAAGGGAAATCGGTTTCGAAGCCCCTGTGGGAATAAGAATCAGAGTGTTCTGATGTTTGAGTATCTGGTCGAAGTAGGATTACTGTACTCAAGGAAAAGCCCAGAAAACAAAAAGGCTGGCATTCTGAAAGGAAACTATGGGGAGATAAGAAAATTCCAAACAGATATAACTTGGAAAACAGCTCAGAGGAAAGACGGCACAAGACATGATGGACTATAACACACAGAAGTGTAAGGAGGCAGCACACAAGTTCGTCTCACTCTAAAAGGTAAAAAATGAAATGCAGGCGAGAAACCCCCATGGTTTAATCAGATATGTAAGCTAGCAAAGCAACTAAGTACAAGGGCGTGGAGAAATTATAGAAATAACAGGACACTAGAGAGCAGAGCAAGATACCAGAGCGCCAGGAATGGTTTCATAGGAGTGAGAAGAGAGGCAGAAAGACAATATGAAAACGACATAGCAAGCAAGGCTAAGACTCAATCTAAATTGTTGCATAGCCACTTCAGGAGGAAAACAACAGTGAAGGAACAGGCGACGAAACTGAGGATTAGGGCAGACAGATTCATAATAAACGAGAAGGAAGTGGGCGAGGAACTCATTAAGAAATTACTGATCTTCACAGAAGAGCAAGGAGAAGTCCCAGAGATAACAGCGGGGCTATCTAACCAAACACCACTAGAAGAGTTTGTGATTACCAGTGGGGAAGTGAGGAAGCGTTTACTAGAGTTGGAGGTGACAAAGGTTATAGTCCTGATGAAATCTCACCATGGATACTAAAGGAAGGAGAAGAAGCTCTGTGCCAGCCACTCGCCATGGTTATCTTGAGGTTATCTTGAGATGATTTCGGGGCTTTAGTGTCCCCGCGGCCCGGTCCTCGACCAGGCCTCCACCCCCAGGAAGCAGCCCGTGACAGCTGACTAACACCCAGGTACCTATTTTACTGCTAGTTAACAGGGGCATAGGGTGAAAGAAACTCTGCCCATTGTTTCTCGCCGGCGCCCGGGATCGAATCCGGGAAAACATTATCACAAGTCCAGAGTGCTGTCCGCTCGGCCGACCGGCTCCCCTGGTGTATAACAAATCAGTTTAACTGCCAACAATTTGGAAGACGGCTAATGTAGTCACGATTTACAAAAAGGGAAATAGACAGGAGACACTGAACTACAAGCCAGTATCCCTAACTTGCAAACCAATCAAGATGACGCAGAAGATTGTGCCAAAAAAGCTAGTGGAACATCTATAGTGAAAGAACTTTGTAACACAGCATCATCATGGGTTCAGGGATGACAAAACATGTCTTGTAGGATTAATTGAATTCTATGACCAGGCAACAAAAATCCTGCAAGAAAGAGAGGGATGGGCAGACGGCATATTTTAGGATTAATAGAAAGACTTTGACACAGTATTACATGAGAGACTAGCCCATACGCTCAAGATGCAGGCAGGAATGAAAGGAAAGGTACTCCAGTGGTTAGGGGAGTACCTAAGCAACAGAAGACAGCGAGTCACTGTGAAGGGGGGGAGGGGGAGGTCTCGGAGTGGCGAGACGTCATCAGTGGAATCCCTCAGGGATCAGTCCTTGAACCTATTCTGTTTCTGATCTATGTAAATGATCTCCCAGAGGGAATAGATTCGTTCTTCTCAATGTTTGCTGATTATACAAAAATTATGAGGTGAATTAAAACAGAGGAAGATAGTATGAGGCTACAAGATGGCCTAGACAAACTGAAGGAATGGTCCTATATATGGCTACTAAAGTTCAACCCAAGTAAATATAAGGTACTGAATCTAGGCAGTGGAAACAGGAGGCCAGACACTGGATACCGAATTGGAGATGAAGTCCTTCGCGAAACTGACAGAAAGATCTCGGAGGCGATATCACGCAAAACCTCTCTCCTAAAGCCAATATCAAAACAACATCAGCGGCATATGCGTGGCTGGCTAACATCAGAACTGCCTTCAGAAACCTGTGTAATGAATCTTTCAGAACCTTTTATACCACATACGTAAGACCAATCCAGGAGTATGCGGGCCGAAGCATGGAGCCCGTACCTTGTTAAGCACAAGAAGAAGCTGGAAAAAGTTCAGAGGTATCCACTAGGCTAGTACCAGAACCAAGAGGCATGCGTTACGAGGAAAAGCTGCGTGAACTGCACCGCACGTCCCTGGAAGACAGAAGAGCTAGAGGAGACATGATCACCGCATACAAAATCCTCAGGAGAATTTACAGGGTAGAAAAGAAGAAATTTAACACGGGTGGTACAAGCACAAGGGGACACAGCTGGAATCTGAGTACCCAAATGAGCCACAAAGCCATTAGAAAGAACTTTTCAGTGTCAGAGTAGTTAGTAAATGGAATGCACTAGGAAGTGATGTGGTGGAGGCTGACTCCATACACAGTTTCAAATATAGATATGATAGAGCCCAGTAGGCTCAGAAATCTGTACACCAGTTGATTGGTAGTTGAGAGGCGGGACCAAAGAGACAGCTCAACTGCTACAAGCACAATTAAAGTAAGTACAACTCCCCCCCCCCCCATCAATACACACACACACACAGCGGGGTCTTCGCGGCTGAGTGAACAGCGCTCGGGGGTCATAAGGCCAAGGGGGCCCAGGTTCGTGTCCCGGTTGAGGAGGAAACAAATGGAGAGAACTGCTTTCACCCTGATGCCCTGTTCACCTACTACTAACTACTTACTTGGGAATTAAAAGGTTTCTACGAGCTGCTTCCTGGGGATATGAATGAGAGCGTGTGTGTGTGTGTGTGCGTGTGTTAGGGAGAAAATATATGTAATAGAAATAATAGATGAAAAATAGATTGGCTAGAATGGTAGAGTCCGCGAGCTAATAGCTCGGTTTTGCAGATACATATAATAAAAATACACACACACACACACACTCACATACACACACACACACACACACACACACACACACACACACACACACACACACACACACACACACACACACACACACACACAATAAGCTCTACCACAGAGCACCATTGCGTTTCCTCTCAAGCCGGATACATCAAGACTTCCAAAAATAGCCGAATTCAATTCCCCAAGGCTACACAAGGATCTAAAATAACTGAATCCCTCTGACATGTACATCAGTGGAAATAGACCAGTTCAACCCATCGATCATCTCCTCACATCACGTCACCATCCAGCATCCCAGTACTACTCACCTCTCGTCTCCGGAATGACATCAGGATCCTTCTCATCAACATCAAGACGCCCGCTGTGACTGTCATCCTTCTTGAGTATGTGGAGGCTGGAGTCGTCCTGGTTGAGCCTCGCCTGGTTCTCCCTCCGGGGCCGACGCACCACCATCACCACCACGATCACCACGAACACCACCAAGATGCCGCCTACCACCCCCATGATGATAGCCAGGGAGGGGTACAGCTCCATGGTGGAAGGCAGCTCACTCGCGCCCTGGATCACTCCTGTAGGAACACCGGCAAGTTGCTGTAGAAGGCACTGACAGGGCCTCTGGGGCGTCAACCTGCTCTCACACAATATAGCACATATAGGACTTATTGCTTACAGTCACTATTTGGCTTATAAATAAGTATATATTTGACATATTCTAAGCCATTATTTTTTTTCCAAGGCACTAACTCTTCTTCTCAGCTTTATTAAACAATAGAGATTTTATACAAAATTTCACAATATCCTGAGTTACTTAACAATTAATATAAAAATTTTAGTTTTGTTTTACTATTTTTATAAAACTGTAATAACAATATAGGTATTGGTTCAGTACTAATTGTAATATCTTAACATACTAAGAAGGTTAGGTTAGGTCGGTGTTTTCTATTCAGCATTTCAAGGTAAACTCAAATATTCACAATGAATTAGTATATTACATATGAACTTTTTCGTATGCCAAATAGTGACTATAAGCAAGTGCGAGAACGGGTTGGGGGCGTTCACACGGGGGACATATGTATACGCTGAATAGTACACATAATACACTATCTACTTATGCATAATACACACACACCCCTGTGTGTCTAAATGTTTGCATTTACATGTGTGTGTGTGTGTGTGTGCATATATGTTTGTGTACATATGATTATATACCTGTGTTGGTATACTAAAGTGTCTGTGTATTTGTGTGTATGTGTTTAATTATAACTGTATAAATGTTACGGGTTATTCTTGCCCGTGCCACCTCTTGGGTGGCTTAATCTTTATCAATCAATCTGTATAAATGTGTGTTTATATTTACATTCCAAAAATAACTTACCTGTGAAAAAAATCGGTTGAACAGATCTGTGTGTTTGATTAATGAGGATTAAAATGTACACGCTTAACTGTTAAAAATAAAATCAACAAAGTTTTAAAAAATAATTTAGAGAGATCCCATTTTTATCATGTGATTCTTCTTCTAAACCGGAAATAAAGTATGAAACTAATTTTAGAATTCACAGAGAAGAATGACTGAAGTGACTTAATGAACGAAATGATTCAGTATAGGAACAGAATGTTCTGAAAATATCGTTCACAGTTAGAACACAAAATTTAATCCAGTCTGAAAGGTTTGGATATATATATAACTGACGTACATGAGCACAGGTTCGAAATCTGGAATGCATATATGTAGAACAATTGCACAAGTAACAGAGACAAACTCATAGGAAAGTTGCGTTGATTGGCTAAACAAATAAACAAGTACAAGTAGTTATACAAATAGAAATATAATCAAATAAGCCAAAAGGTCTCCGTCAGACTGATTTATTTCAATGTTCTTTTGAAAAATTAAGTCTTTGATCAGATATTGTAACGACTCTCTGCTCTTCTACTTTTTATCATCTCTTCTCGTTAACCTATGTATTTTGTCATCCTCGTTTACCATCTCTTCTCACTGTATTCTTTTAATCATTACTCTAACGCTGAAGAGTTCCTGCTTGTATACGGCCGGCTCACCTGGTTTAATAGCTTCACGTGCTGGAGGTCAGCAAGTTCAATATAACATATTCAACCCATCCTCCTGTTTACCTATTGTGACGGTCGTCAATAGTCACGAATCTTTTCGTACTTAGCTTTTAGATAGTAGTACTATATTGAGTAAGAAGGAATTGTTTTAAAATAAATGAAGTAAATAAATAAATAAAATAAAATAAATAATTAAAACACAAACTTAAATATTCCCAGGCCTAGTATAGCACACATGTGTACTATATTAGGCCTCAGTAATGTATTAGGCTTAGTAATGATAGGTTAGGTTTGTTCAAGTTGTCACAGCAATACAAGTAAAAAAAAATAGTTGTATGTTCTCGCTGCAGACGTTAGGGAGAACGGTCTATTGACATAGCTCGGGTGCAGCGGGGGGGGGGGGGGGGTGTAAAATCCTGGTTTGTTCCTCGGAGAGGCTACGGGATCCATTAAGTTCAGTAGAACTTCGGTTTCAACCCTTTTTACCCTGTCGTAGCTCAGTCGATTAAGACAGTGTCTGGGATGCTCCCGGACGCAGGTTCGAATCCTCGTCACAGCCTTTGTGGATTTGTTCAAATAGTTGTCTGGTTTCTGGAACTCAATATTTCATATTTCTACTTTCTAATTTCGTTGTATGTCAGTATATATATATACTATGGTCCTCATGGTTACCGTAAGTACTTCCCAAACAGGAGGATGGGCTGACATATTTAATTATTTTTAACGCCTCTCACAGTCTACTGCTTCGGGATCATTGCATTTCTGAGCTGGTTTGCATCCGTTGGTATGTATGTAACTGCAATATGTTTGCATCACTCGGAATGTGTGAAAATTAGTCTGTTAGTAACTGTCCGAATTAATACAGTCGTGCATGTTTGTGTGTAATGCTTGTGTGCTTGTGTACAAGCGTTTGTCTGTGTGTGCTGCTGTGTTTGTCTTAGTGTTAGCATGTTTGCATGAGCGAGCTGCAAGATAGCAAATTACATTCACGCGTGGACATTGAAATGTCAATAGACAAAATATGATATATATATATACAAAGATTGACAGTAAGAAATTTGTATACCGATATCTTCCTAGGCAGCAGGGACATATGAGTCCTAAGCTTTGAATAAGGCATTTCTTCTCTTTATATTTTGTGTGTAGTCGTTGAAGTTTTTAAGCAAGTTTTGTATTGCTTCTTCCACAGATCTTCCAACACTGTGAAATTTTTGAAAATTGTTTTGCTAGGGAGACGTGGGAGTCCTTATACATGTACACCTCTCCATACATGCACCCATAAATTCATTGTTCAATGCATCAAATCATCCAATCATACATTTTTCTTTGCATTCATCAATCTATCCTTTCATCCATCAACACATCTCAACTTGAATCAATTCATCTAGTGATGCATATATATAAATGTTTCCATTCATCTGTAAGTCCATTCATCATTGTCTGCAATTATCAATTCGTCCATCTTACCTTGCATACATTAGTCCATCAATTCATACATAATGCAACTCATCGTCTCTATACTCTCTTATACAGTTTATATTATGGTATTTTCTTCGTACGAAAACTATTCAAATACATTAGGCATAAAAACTAATACAAATGTTGGTATTACAGAAAAAAAATATTTATGTTCTTAATACAGGGACCAGATGCAACTGTTTATGTATGAAGCTCGTTCCAGGTGTATGGTGTAAAACCAGAATTAAACTGGCACAGGTAATCACTAATGTGGCTCTAATTTGTATACAAGTGTAGTTAAAACTATGTCTCATCAAACTCAAAACCTAGACTCACTTTTCATCTCTCCTCTCCTCTTCTCTCTCCTCCTCTTCTCTCCTCTCCTCTCCACCTCTATTCTCTCTGTGATCTCCCTTATGTGCTCCTGAATGTATACGTCTCTGTCTTTATCTAAATACAATCTATTGCATTTTTCGTATCTTTTCTATTTCTTGTGATATTCTCTCAACGATTACTCTCATTCTCTGTTCTTGCCCCTTTGTCACTGTTTGAAAACTCATTTATGCTGCATATATGATTTCTATGAGTCTGATATAAGAGGCTTATGTTTCATGAATGTTAATATAGAGTAACCGTGAGTGAGAGGTTATAGTGAGCCCAAATATAATATCTTAAAGCTTTGTTAGTTAACTCTGGCTAAGAGTGACAATTTAGAGTGAGCTTGATAATGATAACCCTCCAGCTCTCCTTCCTGACCCTATTTCAAGCAGAGAAATTTGAATGAGTTTACCTTTGATAATCTCCACCTCTCCAAGCTAACTCTGATCAAGAGCGAGAGCTCGGAGTGGACTTAAATATGAGATTCCTAAAGCTTTACCCGAAAGTTATAATTAGTTTTTCTTTACTGACTTGTCATTAACGTTAGTTTCGACTAAATTCGACCAATGAGGTTATTGTGGCCCTTACTTTTCATTGAGGGTTCATTAAGGGGACTGAATGAGAGTAACAAAACTAACGGGGAATAAACTTCATGATTATATGTAGACCAAACCACACACTAGAAGAAGAAGAGACGACGACGTGTCGGTTCGTCCTGGACCATTATCAAGTCGATTGTGACTCCTTTTTGTCAGACCACACACTAGAAAGTGAAGGGACGACGACGTTTCGGTCCGTCCTGGACCATTCTCAAGTCGATTGTGACTCCTTTTTGTCAGACCACACACTAGAAAGTGAAGGGACGACGACGTTTCGGTCCGTCCTGGACCATTCTCAAGTCGATTGTGACTCCTTTTTGTCAGACCACACACTAGAAAGTGAAGGGACGACGACGTTTCGGTCCGTCCTGGACTATTATCAAGTCGATTGTGATGAGACAAGGGTTATATATTATGATTATGTATATAATTAGAAGCCGGATATAGAGCAGCTAGAGCCCTTCCCACTCTCTCTTTTTCCCTTCCGACTTAATCCTTAGGAACAGTTCCCCTTTTTCATTTACAGTTTTCTGGGGCTGCAGACACCCCACTTCTTAAGTGATCCCCAGAATTGCAGTTCCTATGATTCACATCAATTATCCAGGGGCAATAGATCCAGTTCCTTTTTGGTTTATGTTATAATACCAGTTTCCTTCTGTATCGCGTTATCTGAAGATTAGAGCAAAAACTGTATTTTCTCCAGGGTTACAGTTGTTGCAGTTCCTTATCTCGTTGTGTCTTGCTATCAACGGAGTTGCAATTTAGTTTCTTTGATGTTGATCCATCAAAATATAACTCCATTTTTTTTATTCTCATCTCTTATACTTATACTCATCGGTTTCTTATACTTTTTTGCTTTTCCAAGAGGAAACTGAAATAATATTATTAGATTATTAAAATACATAAGTAACAATAATGTATTTGTGAATTTGATATCAAGATCTACAAAAAATCTTTCGCACTCTCCAGAGTTCTAACTGAGTCTGAGTGTATAGTAAGGGCTACACTTGATTACCCACTGAAATGAGTGATCTCGTCCTCATCACACACTCAGATCTCGACTAAGCACTCAGGAAATGGCGATAGACTTAATTTAAATCTTTACATCATATACACAAATACATAAGTG